TCTCTGCTGACTTGCACAATTAAGAGATGTGTTTAAAGCTGTTAAATTAGCGTTTGATGACTAAAAGCTTTCTGGAGCAAGACAGGGGATAAAGTGGCTATAAATGAGACAAACAGCTGTGTTCATTAGCTGTAATATTCTTGTGTGTTAGCATGTCATTTCTCGCATTTGAGTATAAAAGAGGGAGAAAGACAGACAGTGAGAGAAGTGCCAGCTAAACAAAAGGCACAACTCCATACTGCTAGTATATTAGCAATACACTACTGATAATATAAGCTATACAGTATTGCTAACATATAAGAATTTGCTCCAGATGAATATTGTTGGTGTTACAGGGCTTGAATTTCGGCATGTGATTGCGCAACACAATTTTACTCATTCCCAGAGATTTTGTGCTCACACCCAAAGTGCGCGCAAATAAAGACGCCTCTCAGTACCAAGTTCTTTTTTGCTGCTTATTGCACTTAAACAGTCAAATACACGCAAAATAATGTCAAAATGCCGGTCTTGGTGAGTATTCACGTTAACACAGTCAGTTGTGTTTTAAATGAACGTAAACAGTTGAGAAAGAAAACGCATATGTAATGGATCTATGCGTCAGGTCTTAAAGTGACAGCAGCCTACCTGCTGCAAAATTATGAGATAATATTAAAAATATTATCCCTCATGGTATCGATGTCAAAATTGTGGCCAGCGAATATGCTGAGTGGCTAGTAACTTTGGAAAACCACTAGCCACAGTGGCTGATGAGCAAAAAAGTTAATGTCAAGTCCTGCTTGCAACTATAGCAAAGTGAAAAAAAGCACTCACTTTTTTGCTAGCACTCACATTTCCTAAAGACAGGTTTATCACTCCACAATTGTTCTTTTTTAAGAGTTCCAGTTCACCACCCTCTCTCTGAACCCATCAGCGCCTCTCTCCGTTCCTGTCTTCACCTGATTTTGTCTGTCTGTCTCTCTCTCTCTCAATATCTCCGGCACCTTCCCGTCTACATGTCAGTCATGCCTAACTTTCACTTTTTTCTCTTTCTCATGGCACATTTCTCCTGATTCATCTGCACATTGATTTTTGACCCTTCCTCCTTTTTGCATCGGTTTAATGCTAACCCTCATTTCCTCACTCATCCCATCACTGTAATCTCTTCCGAAGTACCCAGCAACCTCCAGCCCGTACATCTTTCTTACTCACAAGGTCAAACCTGCACCTTCAGATCTATTTCAGGTTTCTCCAAAAACCCAGTTCCAGTGTTCTTCAATTTTGAAAGACTCTCATACTGCCAACATCTCATAACCAAAAACAAACCCAAAAAGAACAGCATCATTGCAGGTCAACACCATATGCCCCAACAGGCTTGACCTGAAAGACAATTCTGATCGAGATTCTTTAAGAAATAAGGGCTGGTGAACACTTACACTTTTTTCTCCATCCAGTCAAGGCACAATGCACAACATCAAAAATCTTTTACATCAAAATGTACAGTACACATATTAAGGCTGTCAAGACTGAGCAATCATGTCATGTTCTGACATCCCAATGATGTGACAAATTGAAAAGATACCCCACAAACCTAAGTAGAGACCGTGAGAACTTTGTCAGAGCCTAAGATTCATCGTAAGTTCCTTAGATCAATCACCATCAGTGAGCCTTTCAAACTATGTGAAAAGACTTTTCAGGACTCTCGAAAGTCATACAATTTTGATCTATTCCTTTACAAATGTTGCTTTTCATATTGTACAATGTGACCCTTGGGCACAAGTCAAGGCAGACATCAACACTCTTTTACGTCAAAGAGTATGATATTACTTTGGTCAAGATTGACAGTGTTGACAGAACAATCATGTCACATTCTGACATCCCCACTGACACGACAAATTGAAATTGCACCGGCTGGCCCACAGTAAAAGTATCAGATTTCCAAAATGTGAGAGACCACAAACATGATGAGAAAAAAAAAAATCATAGATTTAACAGTTTTGTTCCTGGTGTGGAGTGCCACGATGTGACCAAGACAGCACAGATTCCATTCAACCAGAGTCTCGACTGTGAACACGGGAAATCTCGCAAAATCTCTGATGGTCAAACGTGACTTCGGAGTAAACAAACATGGCAGACGACAGGCAAGAAGAAATGGCAATAATAGTGTCTGGACTGCTTTTTACAGACATTTCACAAAAAAAAAAAAAAAGGGTTAGGATGACGTTGAGTTATGCGTCCGTCTTCCGTCAGCTCGCTTTCTGATTGGGTATCATTTCGTTCCACATGACAATCTACAGATTTTATATGCGTTTATGTCCTCGGGGTTCAGGATTCCTGATCGTAAATATCCAACATGTTTGATACTCAACACTCCTCACAACACAGGAAAATCTGATGAGATAATCTGTAGAACCATCAATATAATCGGGACTTTACCTAGAATTGTCAGATGGGAAGAATTGGGCCCAAAACCGTCCTGATGGTCTTGTAGTGTGTGTGTGCCTTAAGACTGTCAGAACTTCGTCAGAGCCTAAGATTAATCACCATCGGTGAGCCTCATCAACAATCTTTTATGTCAAAGTGTACAATATGTTATGACTTTGGTCACAACTGACAGTGTTGACGGAACAATCATGTCATGGTCTGATAATACACCAAATTGAAATGGTACTGCACAATCATAAGTAAACAAAAGTAGAAGATATCATACGAGCAGTCATATTGCAGAACTGCAGACCAACATTTCAGTTACTGCCCAAACTTTGGTGGAGCTTAAATTTCATTGCAGAGGCCTAAAATTAATCTCACAAATTGACTGCCAATTTTTCTCTACAACAAAAGACCTTTTACAACTCCCGAAAGATATTTCAGTCTGAACCTCTTAGTTATGTTAGTCCACCAGCTAAACCAACCAAAACTAGCATGGAAATCTAGTCTAGAAGCTAGTTTTTGATTTGATATTGGTTTGTCAGACTTGTTTTTGCAGAGAAGAGAACTCACACCTGGGAATTCCTGCTCGCTACAAGTGATGGAAAACCGCTTGGAGGAAAGCAAACCGACACATTCTGTAATTTCTGTTAGCCTTAGTCTGGATATAATTCTTGCTAATGTTATTCCTCTTTCCTGGTCACACCCTGCTAATAAACACAGTATTGGTCACTGTTCAACTGATTGCCGGTTGCATCTGTTCTGAATTACAAAAGAAGTTAGTGCGGAGGAGTACTTGTGCTCACTGAATGAACTTTCTTACATGAAAACCAATCAGGACATGCTACTTTTTAAACCTTAGGGTGCCCACATTGTACAGGACAGCACATATTTTGGTGAGCACAGTAAACAAACCTTTTAGAAAATGACCATGTGGTGAAAATTGAACAAATTTGACTGATGATTGGTAAACCATGGGAAAATTTAGACCTATTGGTGCGAAGTTGCCAAAGAGGCAACGCTAAGGGCAAGGCTAAGCAAACTGTTCTTGGACAATGATCTCTATGTTTTGCTCATGGGTATCAGTTAAAGTTCTCACAGATGGGTGAGGAACCAATGTTGTGGCAGATTTACTGCCACTGGATTATGGTGGCGCTTTCCGAAGAGTTATGTTGCTTAGCATCGCACCAACGCGTATAGCTGCGTGAGCCATCTGCCTCCATTTCCTGTCAATCAGTCTTCCCTGGCATTTGGGGATTGATCTGGGTGTGTGGTCTTTCATTGAAATCAGGGGGAAGTTTGGCTGTGCTTCTGTAGAGAGCTGTTAAAATCCTGGAAGAGGCCAGGGAATTTTTTAGCGGTTTCCCGCAAGTGGAGATAGAAGGGCAAAGTAGCGCGCGCGCACACACACACACACACACACACACACACACACACACACACACACACACACACACACACGTATAAACACCTACTGTCTTCCAAATCCGTCAATCCATAAAGAGAAACTAGCTTGCACGAAACATCTAGCTCAAGGGTAAATGTAATACATAGCCTGTCCAGCAGGTGGCGGTGATGATGTGGTTAATGAGGGCAGAGACAGAGATCTCGGCTAACACTGACATTTCTAAAAGAAACGAAAATATATATGAATGATAAAATCTTGCATGGATCATATGATTTCTGTATCTCCTTTTAAACAGGGTTTCCCATCCTGTGGTCCACAATCACCTATGGGTAAAGATGAAATATATTTACACTTACACTTTACAGACATTTACTTTTTTTCAAATGTCATAATTCACTATAAAAAATGCTGGGTTGTTCCATCCCATTTGGGGTCAAATATGGACAAACCCAACCGCTGCGTTTTAATTTAATTAAAAAATGTAAACCAATGGTTGGGTTCGTCCAAATTTGACCCCCATGAACCCAGCATTTTTAAGAGCGAATTATGACATTTAAAAAAAAGTTAATGTGTGTAAAGTGTATATATTAAATCCTTGTGCATACAATTTGGCACAGATGTGTATTTTTGGGGGGAATTTTACTATTTCACCCCCATTTCCTTTAAAAAATCTATTGTGCAATCTTTGTTAAGAGGTTTTTTATTCTGGTTTTTTTTTTTTTTTGCTGGCATCCAATAGAGAAAATCTGTTACTGGCTGCGCCCAAACAAAATCTTACCGAAAGCTTTTTTTTTTGAGAAATCAATCTCAAATATGGAACACAACTTATTTAGATTTATGGCTTTGATTTTCTAGTCGTTTTAGAGTTCAACTTGTTTCATAAAATATATATTTTATATAAAATAATGTTCATAAATAATTTTCATAAACTTAAACCTATGACTTTTTTTTTGGGATTTACTTATACATTTTTTTCAACAGATTCAATAATCTGCCAAGGGTCTTCTCTAAAATGTGACCAAACTTAAGTCTGTGCTCCCAAACTTCAAATTTGCATGGACAGTTTTTTGACATGGACATTTTTGTCCACTATGTGTAACTTTTTTTAAATTGATGCACAAGGGTTAAATGTGGTCTTTTGGACCACCCTGTACACTGTATTTGGATTTAAAATATGGCCATATATATGACCATTTATTACATTTAATATTATTTGATAATACATATTGACAGAAACAAGTTAAAAATCAATAATACATGACATTTAATGCAATTGAAAACCATATATAACATACGTATATATATTATAATTGACCATTTATGTAGCCTACACTATAAGGCCAGAAGTTTGTGAACACGGTTAATATCTCAGGTGATTGACTCAAAACAACCTGGCAGAGTTGTGAACACAATCTCCATGATTCTCATCTTTCTCTCTGTCTGTTCTTCCTTGTCTTTACATGCTGCATTTACATACCCATTTTTTATGGCATCAAACAGATGTTTGCACAGCTTTAAAACTGCCATTCATCTCACAAATTGACAGCAGAGACTTGCCTGTATGAGAGCCACCCTGTATGACATACAAATGAAAGTTAAGCTGACCCAAAAAAACACATGCACTAGCCATAAAGAGAAAACATTGGTTTAAAGCGTACAAACCCAATACTGTGATTTTAAGCACAGGGAATAATTCACTTTGATGATAAGGTGGCTCTTTATCACGGGAAAACTCTCGGGTAAAGCTGAAATGCCTCTGAAGTGACTAAAATGACTTCAGAAGACAAACTTCCTGTGTTTCAGATGAACTGGTTTGTTTGAAGGAACTTTAAAGTGGTGATAAAATGCCAAAGTCTCTAATATTTGGTTTCTGAAATGAAATTGTGATTTATTTATTTAGCTAATTAACATCTCAAACCAAGCAAGAAATGAACAAACATCAGTGAAAGTCGGCCTCCCACTGCACAGAGTAAAATTAAATGTAATTGTTGGCAAATTAGCTCCAGAAATGTGTGTGTGCCGCTGAAAACGAGCACTAAAACTGCCATTTATCCCTGTAATTCTATGTATAATATAGGCTACATATATTTGTTGTACTTCTTCAGTTGTGATAGCATTATTCATTTATTAAGCAACATATTTCATTTCGGTCGAATGATGGCTTTGTGACGTAAATATGCCATAAATGGTTTGCAAGTGTTAGCTTAGCTGATAGCCAAACTGGTTTTGCTAACGGTTCGGTGTTCTATGCATATCATCATAAATGAAGCTAATTGACATTATATTTTTGAGCAGATTATCTCTTGGCCACATTTACTTACACACAGGTCAAATATGCCAGTTCACACAGCAAAAAACATATTTATTTATTAAATCTTTAAATGACCTTCTGTCCAAATCTTTTACAAAAACAATTGATAAAGAGTTGCAGTTTACTGTCAGTATTGTTATTCTCCTCAACGTTTGCATGGCTACACACATCAAACACAAACACCAACAGCCACTAGAGGGCACTGTCATACTGTAAACGCACTACTATCCAGCTTTACTCCCAAAACAAATAACATTTGTCTCTTCTTCACTCCATCCGGCCAATACTTAAGCTTTTATTGTGATATTTCCATCTCTGGCGTATAAATGTTTAAAATCCCTGGTGGGGAATAAAGTTGACTATTTATTACGGTGGCGTCTTATAGAAAAGTTCAGACTTGCAGTCATAACGGAAAGAAGTGCAAATGGTTTGATAATGGATTTTATAAAAGGAATCATTTCTATTTCATAAAATGTCTGTTTACAAGAGGCGATGTTAATAATTGATGCTGGAGTATTGCTAACTGTCTGTCTTGCGTCAGTCAGCACGACTCTTTCGACTTGATGATAAAGTGTTTAACACAAGAATACAGGTTGTCATTTCTGTTGACTATCGATTCACTGTTAAAGAGAGGAAGAGACACTAAAAACAAAGATTTCCAGGAAGTGACACAGCAGGGACAGCTGGCATGCTGGGAACGAGGAGGACTGGATTGATTATGACAGCTGGGTGTGGGAAACAGAATGACTGACATGAGAAAATATATTGAACGTCATGCCGAAGGCATTTATACTATAGGGAACCAATCAGGAAGTAGATTCTTTAGACGGCTGAATTAAGCATTTGGGCAACTGGAAGTGAGGATCCCTATATCCTACTCACTCCGAAGGGCAGAACATGGCCATAAACGATTAAATGACTTCCTTGAAGTGACCATTGCATGTTCCCTTTGCTAACGGACCTGTGGAAGGGCCCTTCATGAAGGAATTCAGTTGTTTACTTTTGGTTGGAACGCTCCTACAAATGATGACCCTTTCCCGAAGTGCCCTTCATGGGTGCAAAAACGCCATTAAATGGTGAACGAAGGAAACTCGTTGCATTCTATAGTGAAAAGTATAAAATAGAAAATGACTAATATAAAATAATACTGGTTTAATTTTTTATTGTTATTAAAATAATACTAAATTAACTGTTTAATATTTTCAGAATGCATTGTGACAGGCTCAGTGAAAAAAAAATAATGGAGGACAAAGCAAGAACATTTCAATCAATAGTGAAAGGTAACAATTAAAAAGTGGCTCAACATAAATTACAATACAGATTTATAATAATTTCATTTTTATAAAAAATAATTTTATATTAAATATTTAAAAATGCCACATGCTCAGCGATAAATAAAAAATCTAAGATGACAGATGAGTGAGAAGATATTAAAAGGATATACAAATTATACAAAGTAGACAGAAAGTAGTTAAAAATAATTATAATAGAAAGTCATTTTTATAAAAAAAAAGATTTTATAGTGATTAACTCACACTGCAGCATGTATTGCGATAGGCTCAATTACTTTTTTTTATTTCATTGAATAGTAAGAAGTAGAAATAAAAAGTAGCTTAATATAATTATAATATAAAACATAAACAATCATACGTTTTTAAAGCTATTTTAACCAAAATTTGTTTTCTGTGCTTTCTATTTACATTTTTTTTTCTTACAGTATTGTGCTGCTAGCTTAGCTACATGCTAATGTCGAACTCCATTTATAACAGTTGAGTCTCCCATGTGGCTGTGTAAAAATGAATGTAAAAAGGAAAACTGAGGAACAATAGACGGATTGCCATGGATGGAGACAGGGTGGGTGGTTGGAAAGGGGACTTGACTGATAGATGAACATACCTGAACTCTCTCTCTCCGTCTTGATAAGTACTGGCATCAGCGGAATAGAGCAAGCTGTCCTGTCAGCCTTAATTGCAGAGGAGCGGAGAGGTGAAGGAAAAGCCTCCTGGGGTGGAACACGACATATAGAGACAAAAGATCCACCGCACACTGGGATGAAGTCAATCGGCAGTGAAGGTTTAGCAGGGTTCTGTCTCCAGGTGATGAATGTGTTAAAGGAATAAAGGGAAAATGTGTCATTATTTGCTCATGACTATGCTTAGATGAACAAAATAAGGGAGTCCCCCTAAGGTCTGTGTTGGGGCCTCTTTTATTTGCGATTTATGTTAATTATTTATGTAAATTGTCTTCTCTCTCTGAATTATACATTTTGATAACTGTAGTAGATCATAGTAGCAGTTATTCTACACATACAGAAACACATACAGAAACTTTTCATCGTCTGCACAGTATGAGAAAAAAGAAAGATGAAAGAAAAGCTTGTGGCATCCTATGGATGTATGGCAGAAGGAATGCTGGGAAGGATGCAGGGCAATTACACCGCTTTTAGAATCATGTTTTTGCTTTGAGTTTGTGACAGCCTATTTTCCATTCAGAAGAGGAGGAAAAGAAAAAGAAATCAAAAGACAAAGAAAAAAGTGGCTAAATAGTATAAAGACATTTCAGAAATGTCTAAAGCCAGATCAGACTTTAAGTATAATATATATATATATATATATATAAATTTAGACAAGTATGTGTGAATATGTGAGTAAACTAAACTTCAACACAAAATCAAATTCTCAGCCTGCTCAGGCTTTATATAGTCACTTGATAATGACACCATAAATAAGACATCAAAACTTCTGTGAGTCTGTGTATTTTTGTGAGTGTGTTTGAGCAGTCCAACTCGAGCTCTGAACTTTGACTTTAGCCATTCGCTGTCTGTCCCAGGAGACATCTGTGCCAAAGTGTGAACTCAGGCTTCATTATATTACATACAAACACATGCAGAAACACACACACACACACACACACACACACAAACAGAAATCTGCCCTAAGGCCTCAGTATTCATCACTCCGACCGTTTCTCTCACACACATATACAGATGCATCTTGACTCAATATTTGGATATCTTAAAAAAACACAAAACCCATATCAATTTAGAGACTGTAGTAAAGAAAAATTTGTCTAATATGATCATTTAATTTAATTGATGGCAACAGATGTGAAATTGCTAATGTGTTTTCTTAACTTACTGTATATGTTTATACTTTTTGAGCTGTAACTGTCAGGCTGGATTTCTGTCCCTCCTTGACTTCCTGTTCTAATAAATATGTTTCCTGTTTGTTACGGCTGGTGGGCACAGATACATAAGTAGTATACCAAAAACCCATGGGTTTACCGAAAACCCAGTGGACACTCAAATTTCTTCTTTTATTGGCAGGTTCATAAATATGGACGCCACAGAAAACTTTCATGTAGGGAGGTTAAAACAGCATGTTGTTCTGGACACAGACCAATGCTCAGCCACTGTAGCGGTAAAAAAGGGGGAACAAAGCAAGATACCTCGGGAATTTCGCTCCAATTCGAGTCTTTTGAGTTCTGAATCTGGACTGATATTACATTTATCAGGCAAGAATGACTTGTTCCTCATCTATTCATAAAAATGAATAAATCCAAAGATGTACAGTACATATACATTGGAGTTACGCTCGACACTGTAAATGTTGACATTACTGTAAAAACTGACAGAAAATGTCAAAACTTTTTTAACACAATTAACAAAACAAATTGGCTGCTACTGGAATTGATCTAATAGCTTATGATTTGGACAAATGTTTTGCTTTAAAACTTTCATATGTACAAGTGAATCTCTATGGCAGTAAAGCCATTTGCGATAAAACACGACATTCAAATTCTGCCACTTCAATTTCAATCAACTGAAAGTGTGTTATTTGGGATTTTGCGTGTAATGAGAGGCAATTACCTTTCAGCCGCTTTGCCAAGGCTTAATGGTGCATTGGAAAAGGTTTAAAAACATTCACGTGTAAGACTGATCTGTCTAGATTCATAGTTGCAGGGCTTCAGGTAATTTGTTTCTGGCAACATTTAAGACCCATATAGCCGAAACACCTGTGCATGCTGGCACAAACACGTACCAATGCCCACAATGAATTAACATACTCCCATAACCTCCACAGAAACAAACTGCCAAGAAATACTCAAGAAGTGGACATCACCTAACACCATGGACTCGCATAACAAGTCATTTAACTTGTAGCAAAAATCACTCTGAGGCTTATTCTAGGCCAAGAAACATCTACTTATGTTGGGTGTAAATGTTGCGTTTTTAGCCTGATGTGAGAGAAATTACATGGAAATTGTTTGCTATCTGAAATAGATGACAACACAACAATAGACCGATGTAGAGTAACTCTTTCAAAACATGGCTCGACAGTCCCTGTGAATGGTTATACAACACCAGAGAAATTGGTGGAGAATGCAGGCACACAGACACTTTGTGATCAAAATTTAGATCTCTCTGAAATTCACGTGACTGTGAGACAGATCTGATTGTGATTTTCACTTCATTTTTGTGTGAAATATGCATAAGATTAGGGGTAGCCAACCTTGGACCTGGAGGGTTGCCTTCCTGCAGACTTCATTTCCCTACTCCAGCACACCTGCTGGTTATTTCAAGAAATCCCGAATGCCATGATTGTGTTTGATTAAGGGATTGTGGACACTGCTCCACCTCAATCGAAACCAATGGAGCGACAGCAGAAATAGTTTTGGAGGCAGTCTTGTAGAAGGCCACCTCAGCAGCAATATTTTCTCTGCATTCCTTCTTGACCTGAGGCATCAATGTGTTTGGCAAAGGTGACTGACCTGACCAAATTATGGATTGGGAGCCAATGGGAGGACAAGTTACATTGTACAAGAACCTTGAGAAACCTTAGAGAACATGAAGGTCATTACTTGAATCATGACCTTCCATTGAGTGCTGAAGGTTTAATTTGTTTCAAGACTCAGAAAGCCAGAAAAGTTTGTGAAGTTCAATATTTGTGTAGCGATCCAACGGGGAACGCTAAGGGGAAATGCACATGTACTCACTCAACCTCTAGTGACCTTTGAAGCACTTTTTCCTTCTGTGGAAAATGCAATGTAATCACACTTTTATGAAGTTATCAGACCTGAAATGTACAGAAAAAGTGGGATTGAGTAGATGGTATTTTCAAAAAACGCAATATCAAACGTGCTTTACTTACATTGTGTCTTCGGTTTGAGAATAAACTTCTGGCTATAACAGTCTAGTCCACTGTCCCATGAGCTCTGGGATAGGTTGGATTTGTCTTGCTCAGCTGAAGTTGTGCTTCTTGTTTGGAAACCAAAAAGCCAATTATTTTCTTTATTTGCCTCTTGAGTCCACGTCGGACGGATACAATTCCTCTCGTGTCCACGTTAGAAGGAATTAAACTAGAGTTCTCCAAGCAAACAGTTCCACGGCGGGGTCTTAAAGTTTAAGTACCAGAATGGGCCATGAGTCCAGGGTTTTGCTACAGACAATCAGACTCTTATTGCTTGCAAAGAGATGATATAAGATCCCTATCCTTCACTTAGAAGTCTAAAGAGATGTGCTTAAACCACTCTTGGGCTATAAATAAACCTTCACTCGTCATAAATTAGCATCTCATCACTCTAATGAGCTCAAACAGACTAATATATTCATGAATTAATTCCTTTCACTCCCTGACCTGTCTGATCTTAATGACACAAAGCATTGGATGTGATGACTAAAATACTGTAAATATTTTTTTAAACCCATGTTTTGAAGTGATGATAGATCTCTCTAGACCGAAAATCCTTTTGGCATTTGTTGATTTGGATTAAGACAACATTTTGTACCTTGAATGAATATTTTTTTTAACAGTTTTCCATGTCTTAACCTGAGACGCAGCCAGTCTGATGCATGCTCCACAAAAACACATTTGTAAAAACCACAAGCTCAAAACAGATTGTCCGACTGCTACACTGTAAAAAGTGACTTAACTTAAAAGTCAGGAAACCTGTTGCCTTAAAATGAAATAAACAAACTTCATACGTAATTGAAAAAAGTAATTTGACAAGGAATTGTCAGGTTCACATAACCTGTTTTTTTCAATTGCGCATGAAGTTTATTACTTAATATTTCAAGGCAACGGGTTTCCTCACTTTTTTAAGTTATGTGTTAAATGTTTATTTTACTATAATTTTTTTTACATTTATAGTAAAATAAACATTTAACAAAACTTAAAAAAGTGAGGAAACCCGTTGGTTTTCTGTTTCAGAATGGGAGGTATGTCAAACCAAAGAAAGCAGGGTAAGTCAAGCCTGTTTCTGAAAGAGAGGCAACTTATACTCAGAGTCAGTTACCATGGCCATGAAAGTTTTGTGAAAAAGATAAAAAATGCTGACTCTGGCTGGTAACTTAAAAAAAAAAAAAAAAAAAAAAAAACGCTGACGGGAAAGAGTTAATAGTTGTACAATAAAGCATAAGTATATGCAAATGCTATCACTGCTGATCAGTGTGCAGTGACATAATTTGCAGCATAAAACATCATACATTTAATTTAGCAGCAAAAATTTGAGACAAATATCAAAAACAAAAAAGACAAACAGACTGATTTTTTTTTAATTTTATGGAAGATTAACATGAATATTTAGATATATATTTACAATAAAATTAATGTATGAATTCGTTTTTTAACTTTTCAAAATCTTAAAACTTATTTGAGTTTCTAAAAAAACTGTGGAATAAACCCAGAGTTTCTCTCATTCCCTCATTTCCCCAGACCCTCTGCATTCTTTTTTTTTATTTTTTTTTATCAAGGGTAAGTTTTATAAAAAGAGTTAAATCGTGTTTTTGAAAGATTTCATCCGGATCGGATTCAGAACAATGATACATAGATGGAGTAGATCGAGTCCTTCAACACCCCCAAAGCTTGCACAGTCCTATACCTCGTCCTGGGTCGACATTTCATTCGGTAAAATTAGGCAGTTTTGATTTCTATGCTGTTGAATGTTTGATGATGGCATTACAAAGCAATGCTTCTATCGCTTGTTTCTGCTTCTTCTTCACTTGTTTTTGGATCAGAAGATTCTGAACTATTTCAGAAGATGCATAATAGCGCTCCCTACCATTTAACAGTGAAAGCATGTATTGTCTGAAAATTCTGTCAATGGCGGGGAAGCATAAATGATGGACAATTACATCAATGGCAGGGAAAGAGTTACAAAAATATGACAATGAATAATTGCGTTACCTTTTGGTGGGCCAATGTGACTAAATCTGGCTTGCAACATTTCTAAGTCCTGCCTTTCCCATTCTTCTGCATATAAATAGAAGTAGCACACACAAAAAAATACTTTAAAAAATGATTTATATAGTTTTTTTCTTTCCCAATAACACAGTATCAGCGCAACTTAAGCACAAAGTGCAAGATTTTTCCAAGACAGTGTGAAATATGTATCTCTCCCTTTCTTCCCTCCATACTCTTCCTCATTGCCGGGTGCCAATTGGACTTGTAATGTAATGCAAATAGGCTTTTCTCTTCCCTCCGACACAAATAATGGTTCCCTCTTAAGAACTAGGACTGTGGACGGGAGCGCCTGGCTTTGAAAAATGGCATTGTTATCATGAAAAGTAATTTCTAGGTGAGTAAATTGCTTTCCTTGTTCCACCACTTTTCAATTAGTCAGGGAGAGCTCGTGCGGCGGAGATGCGGGCGGTAATAAAGCAGCCCTTAATTCATGGTATTGTGATATCTGACACAAAAGAGAAACTGAGCCAATTAAAGCCGTGGCGAGGGACACAGCTTATTATACATCCTAAAACCTCTGCAGTCTTTAGAGGCCATATAGTCGGTGCCCTCTCGCTTTTTTTGACTTCCTTGTAATCCCTGACTCATGGTTTTTGTACGTTATGAAAGAGATATGATCATAATTGACATCTCAGGGATCGGCGCTGGTCTTTCACAGCGAGATGGTTGTAATGAGTAGAAATACATTTTGTTGCCTTTGATTTTTTTCCCCCCTCATTTTATAGGAAACACAGTTGTAACTGATCGAAACCCATTAATGAGGTCGTGAATCTCATAAAAACATGCCCAGGTCACAAATCATCCTGAAATCAAAAAGAACAAATGAAAATTAAGCATATTTTTTGTAACCATTTTCATGCCAATTAAAGGTAGCTCATACAAAAATGAAATCTGCCATCATTTACTCACCCTCACTTCATTCCAAACCCATATGCTGTTATAATTTTACCATGGAACATAAAATGAGTCATTCAGAAGAATATTACTGTCAAGCTCCAAAAAGGCAACAATATTTAGGATGTTATTCACTGAAAATAACCGGCATCCAACCTGGTGTGACACTTCAAAGCACAATTTAAAAATCTTAACATGGATGAGAGGTATAGTGTAATACTTTTATTTGTTGAGAATTGATTGAATGGTAAAACATGTTGAAGTGGTTGGAGGGGAGGGGCAGAACTGATGTCAGCATAGAAGCAAAAACGTTTAAAGGGATACTCCACCCAAAAATGAAAATTCTGTCATCATTTACTCACCCTCAAGTTGTTCCAAACCTGTATGAGTTTCTTTCTTCTGCTGAACACAAAGGAAGATATTTTGAAGAACGATTGGAACTTTGGCACCATTGACTTCCATAGTATTTTCTTTTTCTACTATGGAAGTCAATGGTGCCAAACAACTGTTTGGTTACAATCGTTCTTCAAAATATCTTCCTTTGTGTTCAGCAGAAGAAAGAAACTCATACAGGTTTGCGGGTGAGTAAATTTTGACAGAATTTTCATTTTTGGGTGGAGTATCCCTTTAAGAGGCAAAGCAAGTCCAATTTGAAGTATCAAATATTTTTTTCTTTGGAATAATGTGCATTATTCACAATAAGACCAAGAACATGTGTTCAGAAAGTAAATTGAGCCAATTTCAAGTTGACTTTAAAGTTCCAGTAATTTCCTTTCTTACTTTTCACAGTTTTGCTTCTGTCCTCACTTGAATGATTTCCTTTCTACTTTTACAGACACACACAAGACACAAAAGGCACAGAGGAAGGAACAAAACAGAGACGGAGAGCGAGCGCTATGATCCATCCTGTTAAAGTAATCATTCATAATGTGTGTATTTTTGAAATGTAACTCACACAGTGTCTCTGTGTCAGTCACTTTTGCGTCTGTTGTGGCTTCTGCAATCATCTCCGAGGAGGTGAGTAATGGCCACAGCGGGGAAAGAGGAAGGCATCAGATATTCAACACATCGAGTCATCTCTCCTCTGCTGTCTGTACCTCAGGAGGATCCATGAACTTCAAGAAGACATTAGCCTTGCAGATAAAGATGTGCCCCTAAAAAGCAATACAAGAGAGACACTTTGAAGATGAAGGCGCCCATCCATCTTCATCAGATTAACAGAAAACTAAACGGAGATCGGAAATTATGTGGTTTGGATTCCCTCAGAACCGTTGCATCTAGTATTTGCAAAGCCTAACCACAAAATCTGCCCACGCCAGAGCTTATTCTGACCAAAAACATGTGAAAGTTGGGACGCAACGTGTTTGTCACCCTGTCACCCTTAGGAAATTAATTGTGAAAATGCGTTCACGCAGGGAACAGCCGTACAGCAGAGGGAATTAAACTTACCCATCCAGTCGTATATGTTATGATGAACTTTGGTTCTGATAACTCGCAAACCAAGCGTCCAATTATGCTCTAGACTACTGGGCCACTTTAGATTTAATTATAGGAAAGAAAACTAATATTACTTGTCACCGCACCTGACAGAGCACGATCTTGGCAAGGCTTGCTGCTCATTAGCGGATTGGGGCAGGAAGTTGCACCTCAGTGATGTACTGTTAGCATCATCCTGACAGACCTTCACTTAATATTTTGCAATATGTAGTCATACACTGAAGGTGAGAAGAGAGGGAGGGAATGTGAGAGAATTGGTGGAATGAAAATAACAAATATTGCTACACATCATAGGTATCACTTTGTTTTGTGGCGATGTCACAAAATAACCTAGCTCATTAATATTTATTAGGTTTTGAATGTCATTTTAGTTTGACTTCAAGAAAATATACTTTAGTCAGAACTGATGGCATCCAGACTGGCTCAATGTGGGGGGTTGGGGGATTAAAGTTAGACATTAACCTTCTTAGTATTCCTCAATCAATTCATTATGAACAATATAACAAGAAAAAAATAATACAATTATAAAAGAATGCCTGTTTTCTATTAATTTTTTGTAAAAAAAAATGTATAGGGTTGCAAACTGTGGAAGCTTGTTTCCGCCACAGAATGAAAAATAAAAAAGGTAATTACGACTTTTTATCTCACAATTCTGACTTTCTTTCTCACAATTGCGAGTTTACATCTCGCAATTCTGCCTTTATTTCTCAGAATTGCGTGATATAAAGTTGCAATTGCGTGTTATAAAGTCAGAATTGCGAGATATAAGGTCAGAATTGATTGATATAAAGTCGCAATTGTGTGTTATAAAGATATAAACTATACTGAGGGGAAAAAAGTTAGTCTTTTTTTCCCTTAGAATTGGCCTGATAACGTGCAATTGCGACTTTATATCTCACAATTCTGAGAAAAGATGTCAGAATTTCGAGATATAAACTCGAAATTATGTGTTATAAAGTCAGAATTGCGAGATAAAAAGTCTCAATTCTATATTTTTTTCTCACAAAAGCGATTTTATTTCTCATAATTGTGACTTTATATCTCGCAATTGCGACTTTTTTTTTCAGAATTGCGACTTTATATTTCGCAATTGCGACTATTTCCCAGAATTGCGACTTTATATCTCGCAATTGCGAGTTTATATCTCACAATTCTGAGAAAAGATGTCATAATTTTGAGATATAAACTCGCAATTATGTATTATAAAGTCAGAATTGAGAGATGTAAACTCGCAATTGTAAGAAAAAAAGTCAGAATTGTGAGATAAAAAGTCTCAAATCTGTTTTTTTTTTCTCGCAATTGCAACTTCATTTCTCATAATTGCGACTTTATATCTCACAATTGCGACTTTATTTCTCAGAATTGCGACTTTATATCTCGCAATTGCGAGATAAAAAGTCGCAATTATTATTTTATTTTATTTTATTCAATGGCGGAAACAAGCTTCCATAGCAAACAACCTGAGCTGTGTAACAGTATATTTTTGCACAACAATAATTTAATCTTTGATGAATGAATAAGCGCAATTCAACTTCATTCTACAAGGTGGCAATGTCTGATACACAATGATGAAGTGGCGTTTCACTCATAGTTACCGCAGGCGGAAAACAAAAGATTAGGAAGTATCATCAGCAAAACTTGAAATGGCTCAGTGATTTACTGCAGAGCAAGTACTGAACGCAATCCAATATTAGTGTCACTGTCAGTTGATGGTGGATCTGGTGAAGAAGCTGTCAGCGTTCAAAATATTGATTTTAAAGATACTGAAAATGATAGTTTTGAGGATGTGTTTGAGATTGCAAATATGAGCTAGATGCTGAATGTACTAGGAAATGAGCTCTGACAAGGACAGTGATTGATATTGGTAACATCTGCTCAAACTGAACCCTTCCGAGCTCCAAAAGGTAACAACATATGCTTTATTTTATTCTTCTGTAATTGTTACTCTAATCAGGAGAGTTATATATTATCGCAACAGGTAGAGATCCATCCGTGTTAGATATAGACCCGGGTCGCTAAAAAAGACCCGAATGTGTAATAATGATTGGTGAAACATTCATGCATTTAAGGGTTAAATTAAATGTAACCACTAAGAAACAGCTTTAAAAGTAGAAACAAATACAGTCAATTCAGAGTCGTAGCCTACTGTCCGACTCTCAGCCAACAAATACTAAAAATAAGTTTTTTTCAAATGTGTATAAATCTGACGAAACATTGAAAATACATATAACTCTAGAAAATGTAAATATGATAAAAACCTTAAAAATATAACTCATATTTCAGGAAATGTAACTCTACAAAACATTTCTATCAGGGGCACAATGCTAGCTATTTTGTTGTGTTTTATGTATGCTAGTGTTACTCTTTTTTTATAATCAGTCTTTTCCCCTTTAAACTGTTGTTATTTCCCTCCTTGAACCTTGAAGTCATTAAAGCCATCAATCCTTTTTTTTGTCCCCATCATTTGATGATCACACTCTTCATTTTGTGCTAATAGGAAGTGTCACTCACCATATGGTGGGTCAGGAGAGACATATCCCCTCCTTTCCCCACTTCTCTTAGCTGTGATTTAACTTCCTGTGGCTAAATCCCTCAATATTAGCCTGAGAACCACACAAAAACGAAAAGGACACATAACTGCAGGGATCCATAGCATCTGAGGTAAACAGAAACCTGAGGGTATCTCACAAATGTAAACAGTGGCTCTCACAGCTCTCTGGTAATCCTTAACAGTCGTCGCTATGGGCATGGCGACGTGTGAACCAATAAGAGTGAAGAGTGGAATGAGTGAACCAATGACAGTGAAGCTGCTCAACAGCTCAACCAATAACAAAACAGCATTCTTTAGTGTCTTTCTGCAAAAACATACCTTTACATCAGATGATTCCTCTCTTGCTCTTGAGAGATAAGAGGAAGGGGCTATAATTTTTTATCACAATGGCCAGGCCTAAAATTATTTTAAACCCCAACCTTATCTTACTCTCTCATACTGCACATGGAAACTTCTCATGGTGATAAGAATCCATAATGAGATGAGCCACAGAAACGTGGCAGCAACAATAGATCATGCTTATGGGAGTTTCCCTGCTAAAATGGGTCATATTGCAGTCTTAAATTCAGTTAACATGGAATAGAGATTGTTGAGGACTGTGCAAACGAATTGGTCAACGGTCAACAGTTTCAGGATGTATTAATATAATTAATGACAGTGTGTTTCTGGAAAACTTAATAATTAAAATGATTTTTTTTTTTTGCTTTTCCTTTTTTGTTTCAAAACAAGTTATTGTATTTACATTAAACAATACTAAATTCGTCTTTTTTTGCCTAAAACCTTTTTTGCACATTTTAATTAAATGCTATTTACTAATTTTTCATATTTATCTTGAAAGTGTCATACATGTCAGCTCAATTACATATATTTTCTAATGTTTTATTTGTTAGCGTTTATGCTAGACTGCTAATAAAGTAACTTACTGTTCGGCCTAGTTTTTTCGTATGTAAGTATGAAATGGGGGTCAAGTATTAAACACCTGTGCTGGGCAAGTAAAACGCGTTATTATCGCGTTAACGCATTTATTAATTAATGCCGACAATTTTTTTTTATCGCGCGTTAACGCAGTTTTTTTTAATTATTATTATTTTGAAAGTCCGTTGCTCACTGGCTCTGAATACACATAGGCCTACAGTCAAACCATGATCACAGGAGGGGTGGGATGTTGGTCAGCCAGCAAATAACCCACCCAAACAAGCAGTGGAGAGGCTTTTAAGGTTCTCTCAGGTGAACAGAAAGGGAGACAGCGCTCCGTGAGTGAATGACAGGCGCTCAATGGATAGTAACCATGGCAACCGCTTCTGTGCGCTTCGCAGCTGTAGCCTTTTTAACTTAAATTAAAATTATACATAACTTTACCTGATAGGCCTGCGTTTAGTTTAGCGGGGATGCTCTGCCATGTGAATTCCCTCCTGTTGATGTCCTGATAACTATTTAGATTCTGGAAACTCACAAACAGCGAGCCGAGGATCAGTCTCTCTTCCAATGATTTGTGCTGCGCGTCGTGTACAAAAAGTTAGATAATTCAACTTCGGCAACGCGCGGGCGCGTGCATGAGGCGAGCATGACCGCAACAGTTTCACAGGAACGCACCCGCTTGTCGCTGCACCTGTGCTCGACCACTTCACCTCACTCTGTTTAATGTAATCTTACGTGGGAAACCATGGCATGCCATGACCAAACCTAAGCTGCTATCAGAGAAGTAACGTTGGTCGACTTATATCTGTAGTAGTCATCATGTACATAGACTGTTTCTGCTGCTCCCTGATACAAGATACCTGTTCAGAAAAAAAAACAAAACAAGAAAACTGGACTCGTTTTAACAAGCTAGATAAAAGGTAATGCCCTGGCAGTGGCAAATAGCTTTGTTTAAATATTTGATTTGATTACGTTGATGTTTAAGTTGAGATTTACAAGAAATATTTTATTGATAGCCTACTGTGTAAAGGGAATACTGCTGGTATAAAAGCACCTTATTTGTTTAAAGTTTTTGCAAACCACATGTTATTGCACTTTTGTAGCAGTACATTTAAATCAAAAGTGCGCAATACTTTAGAATTCATTATTCAATTTTGCGTAACAATGCGATTAATCGCGATTACATTT